CTGTTGTATTACCCGAGAGGGATTTTTTTCCTTCAGCTTCGTTGGAACTCCTTCCTGTGTGCGAATGCACTCCTTGGTAGGTTCGAAGTTTCAGCCCCGTTTTTATGTACCACAGTAAGGATTGTTTTTGGCTCACCATTATTGCTTCAGGTTGTATTTTGTTCTTTGACGTGATTTTTTGATTCACCGTTCTAATAAATCTTTGACTACCCCTACTCGGGTTATTCTTAAAGAATGGCCTCGTATCTTTCAACATAACCTCATCCCTTCCGCCTTTCCAAGCTATAACCGAATCGAGAGCTTTGTGCTAAACAACATGATGCTGGATCCAAGAAGGACCTCATAGTGCTGTGTCACAAAATACACAAAAAGCTTAGTAAAATCGGAACATATATATTGGCCCTCCAACCTCAAACAAGGTACTCGTCTTTTGAAGAAAAGCTATTAGGTTCAATTACAGATCAAATTGCAAGGTTGAGTTACAGACCTATGTTCACGGCGGTCTCCAGTTTGTCCCCTGTGAGTACCCAAACACGGATACCAGCCTGAACAAGTCGTCCTACGGTCTCCGGAACCTGATCTTGAAGGCGATCTTCGATTGCAGAAACTCCAATCAGTACCAGTTCCTTAAAAAGTAATGCTGTGGACAGCACCGTATAGAGAGCATTAGGAACCTATGGCGTGTAACATCGCAATCAGTCGGGGGCGGTGTGAGGAGCGCGAGATGAGCTCTCCTCCGGCTGTCTTGCTCTATACGTAAGGATCAGCTAGTGGTGATAGCTTAGGAGGAAAACAACCAGTGATGGCAGCTCGGTAGGTGGGTTCAGTCCATCCTTCCGGAAATCAACCCGACTGATTGCGAAAATACCAACTGTACCGTTAAAAAAGCTAAGCGGTGACGATCTCGCCGTAGTCACATTTGTCTATGTCCCTTGCTTAGGATCCAAATGACAGTTATACGTTCGAGGTGTGTTACTCTATACAAAAAGATGTTTCGAAGGACGCTGCCACATTGAATGATGATGCCAAACTCGACTGACTGTCTCACAAATTACACACTTCACCCGGTTCACGAACTATACACCTACGAAGAGGGGGGGAGGGAGATAAAGCGACATCACTAAAGAAGTTGTATGGCCAAAATGTGACAGTGAATCTCTACTCTACCGCCACATATCTTGATGTTGATGTTTGTTCATTCGTTAGTGCGAACCTCACATTCTTTTCCTCAATAACTGCAGCACCACTTAGCCGTTACGTGGACGCATCAGTGATAACGGCAGAATTGTTGCCCTTTGCTATCTCCATGAATAAAGCGGACTTCGCTTTGTGAGTCACTATTTGATTGTAACTTCTGTAATACTGAAGCGCAAGACTATATCAGAACTGGACAACGGACCTTCTCGATATTCTCTGCGAGTTCTGCGAGACGTTCTTTTCGATTACTGGTATCATTAATGGCTAGGAGGTACTCCTTGTACCAAGCGTTAAATGTCGCGGTGTCAATATTTCTCACAGCAAAGCACAAGGTTCGATGACCTGAACATCTTTCCATCAGAAGATTCGCAGAACACTTCAACCATTTCTTTCTCACCTTCCACTGCGAATTGCTGCAAATGACCAGCCGTACGTTTCAGTTCCTTCTGTGAAACCCTTTTGAGCCGCTCGAAAATTTTTTGGTCCTGAATAAGTAACCACACATGAAAAAGGTGATCTATTTGTGGAGGAAAAGAGAATAAGAGCTCACGGCCCCTTTGATGTAGAGTTTATAATGGCCAGAGGGATCTTTTACTATCACGGACATTCGTTTCCGATCCGAGTCAAACTCGAGAATCGCTACTAGATCGTATTCCGTTTGGATTCCTAACTGAAACGCATCCGTTTGTCATGGAACTAGTTGTCTCAGTGCATAACTTCCTTCCTACCACATTGACAAAACATTTTCCTTGAGCCCTTTTACTGAAGACGAACCCAGCATCGGCTGCGAAGTTGAGAAGAGCATGCTCATCTGGAATCAAAAGGATGTCGTTGTAATTCATGTACAACTCTTTTTCGCTCCCTTCTATAGTACATGTCAGATTACGCAACAGAAAA